CCTGGGAATTTATTTCAGATACTATGTTATGTTGTTACAGTTCTTTTGTTATGACACATCTATTATAACTTTTTGGGATTTATGACGTACGATTGTATGATATATTATAAATTGTTGATAACTTTAGTATTATTTAAACAAAGCATTTTTGGGTCGTATTTTGGGTCGTTACAGAGAGAGACAGTGTTATTGGAGTGGAGGGGAGTGTTATACCACCAGTGGGCAGCAGAATCGTCGGGCTGTGCAACGTTTTAAAGGGATCACACATATTGGATACATTGAACAGTACAAAACATATAACACAAACATTTCTTTTATTAATAGTATAATATATTACATTGTCTTATTGTAGTACGAGCATAGCAAATATAAACTACAAATAACATTGCAAATCAATCCCTTATGTGAATCTTCAATGACATTGCCACTTCCGACTCTCATTTCCCTGATAATACATGTGAGTTAAAATGTCAACATAATGTTAGTGAGTTCACATTTATAGTTTATTTTTTTTTACTTTTATGAAACGTATTTCTCTTACAAATTGTTTATATATATATATATATATATATATATATATATATATATATATATATATATATATATATATATATGCTATTACGACTTCAAGGCGTTCCCCTCTAGGTAGTTTAATTAATTAAGGTTGGTGGAACAATGTTACAATTTGTTCCCATAATCAATCTTTTGACTTGATATTGGCTCCGCACAATGCTTCATCGGATTTCATAGTAGAGTAGAAAGTTATTCGTGGTATGACGTGACCGCCAAGGTTGTAGCTAGCATCTGTATGTAGGGCTATCAACCTTATACAGATCTAACATACATTTCTCGCTCACTTAAGATTTAACGATTATAGGTCGAGGATTAGATAAAGTTTAATTAGCTAGTTGATGAATAGTTGTCTCACTAACATTTGTTTTGATTAGCCTTATATAATACTTTTTCTTTTATTACTTTGATCACATAATTACATTTAACTATATAATTATATCCATTCAGTTGAAAGAATGGGTATTCGGGCAGAGTAATGCCTATATACAATGCAATCTGAGAAATTTGGACATAGTAACGGCTAGGCATAATATTATCTTAAATATTAGGACAAAGTAAATTTCAGGTATAGTATTATCCTAAATATTTGTGAAGTATAATAACTAGGCATAATATTATCCATGATATTTGGGCAGAGTGGCTACCAGGCATAATATTATCCTAATAATTCGAGTATATCAATGATGCATGACAAATTATTATATAATATCTAATGATAATTTTAGATATCAATAATTTATTTACTAGCATGTATTCCCCTCCCCCCGGAATACTTTTGAAAACATAAAAATGGAGTCGAAAACTCACCCTAGTAGCATGCTTTTTAGGGGCTTGGGAACATCGTGTCTAGATTCGGGAGGTCAAAAGTACTAACAATTCGTTTCCTTCATATTACAATTCCTTTGACAGTTTACTTTATGGCTTATTTACAATAACCAATTTTTTTTTGAATTTTTGTCTCACATGTGTTTTTAGGAGATTCTTTGTCCTTTCTATTAAAAAACAACTCTTTATAGTTAAACTTATTTGTTAGTACTTTTAGTAAAACAGGGGTAATAGATATGTGCATAAAGGTTTTTTTATATGGTCATAAATAACAATGTACTTTCAAAGAACAATGCTATTTTACTTTTTGATTTCATTAATTTGATTTTTTTTTGTTTCTATAAAATCAGGCTACATTATACCATCTACATCAGTCCACCATAAAATCATGCCACATCACCTATATATCGGATATTCAAATAAAAATATATATTAATTTTAAATAATCAATATAAAAGTCTAAACAAAACTTATGTGTTATTAGTTTAATAAAATTTTTACCCATGGTTTCCACGGGCAGTAACTTAGTGTGTGTGTGTGTGTATATATATATATATATACACACACACACACACTAATCTGTGGATGTATATCCATTGATTCAAGGGATTTCGTCTAAACTATATTAAGAACCGATCTTATCACAAAGATAATAGATGTGTTATCTATTATATACTTATCTATATCATGACCTAATATACAACTAATTAGAATCATAAAACTAAAATGTAAGTGGACACCGATAAACTTAATACGTTGGCGCTGTAGATGTAGTAAACACTGACGCTGACCTATCATAGCGTCGTTTGTTTGACTCATCAAATCATAAGGTGTGACCTTACAATCTACCCTATTTGATGATGTCAAAACTAATCTTCTTCTTCAGAGTCATCGGAGGAGCCATTGTATATAAGCGTAATGATTTTGTCTCGTGCTCCCCCTGAGAGTTAGAATGAAATTTTGACTTTTGCAGTTTGATCGAATGCTCCCCCTGAAATGATGAATGACTCATGGATTGCAGCAGACGACAGATGAACCGATAATAAGCCTGAGCTGATCTGAGAACGTTGGCATCAACTTGACTCGACTCCCCCTTAGAATGAGCTTTTCTGAATTCTATGTTATAATGTTTTAGCTTTACTTTCTCCCCTTTTTTGACATCAACAGCTAACGTTGAGTATAATATATTTTCAACTTGTAGTCTAGTTAGATTGTGATGTCTTCTGATAGGATGGGCTTAAGCTACCATTAACTGACATAGTATTGCGAGATCTCATCAGCATGAGTTTTCATATGTTGAATCATAAATCTATTTTATTATAAGAAAAAGGACAAGAGTGGATAGGTGCGTGTGATAGCCTACGGTACATAGACTAACCATCGGCAAAGATTTTTGAACTTTTATCAGTGTGTGGTTTTACACAGTGAATCATCAAGTTCCATTAAGAAGATAAAGGAGAGAATGGATTGTTTTAGTCATGCTGAGGTGAAATCAGCGTGAATCATTAACAGTTTGACTCATCAACAAGAAGTGGTTTAAACTTTCGTATCATATAGTAAGTTGTAATCTAGAATCAAAGATTCACCGTTAATTTATAATGGTACCATGTCATATCTCAAACTAGGAGGTCAAGGACATGAACAAACCTTTGTCATTTAAGGACCAGCCAAGTATCTCTTACGCTGATGGCTATGCAATTAGGGTAAGCCATTAGGTTATGCTCAATGTTTTAGCAAAACATGTGACTTGATGCATACGGAAAGCATGCTTCTAGGGACAGGGTCAGGTAAAAATGATTAACTTAAAAATAAGCACCCTAGACTTTTTATCAATATTTTTCATTTGGACCAGGCTATCTAACTTTGAGAGTTTAGATAATGCTAAACAATTAGCGTGAGAGGGTGACTCAATGTTCTTAGCAGATGATCTCGATGATGAGAAACTTAGAGAGATTTTATCACATACAACAACATGCTTCTAGGGACGATGATGTGTTAAAAGTTGCATACTAAGCTTAGAATTGCCACCGTCAGATCCCTTTAGAAAATGCTACAAAAGAATAAACAAAATAAGAATACAAACAAAAAGCTAGTCAAACAAGAAAATAGTTTAAACAAAAAAGTATATGCAACTTTTTTTCTTCAAAAAGGTGATAAAGACTCATTCCATTACGAATCAAGAGTGATGAGACTATTTATCATTGAAGCGTTTCAGATGCTTTCCAAGGTTCATGTTCATCAGGAGCAAGAGAATAAGTGAATATCAATCTTTGTAACTAACGAGTTAACTGAGCCGTATCCATAAAACCATCATGTCTTCAAGATCAACATTAGGCCATTCGAGGTTTTATAGGATTGTGACTCAGTAGATGAAAACAAGACTTACTGCATTGATGGTTGCTCTTTGCAGCCATAACAAATGAGGGAAGGATAAATAGGGTATCCTCAATAAGAAAAGGACATGATGTAACTCTTTTTCTTAATACTAAAAGCTTGAGATACTTCAAGAAAGCTCCAATCCTTACAAATTCTGAAGCAATAAGATGCAGATAAATCTTATGTAGGTTTGAAAGAAAATACCTGTAAATACTAAATATAAGTACCACCTCCATCGGAGATATGGAGCACATCCGAAATAGCATCACCCCCGTCAGTTTCTCTTCCTTTGACCCCCCCTGATCTTCAATTGAAACCTTAGCGCCATCATCACCACTTGAAGACCATAACTTCGTTTAAGACCGTAGAGCCATTGAACCCAACAAATCTCTTCTTTACTTGTTGAAGACAACACATTTGTTCTTCATCCGTCGAAACCTTAGATCTGAGGTAGTAGTTGTATAGATATGGTGAAGAGGGTCACAAAAATCAGGTAAATAGAGGGACAAAATACAGGTTTTGCTTTTTGGTGTTCTAAATCTCCGACGAAGATGTTAACAAATCGGATGACGATGTTGGTTGTCGGAGATTAGGCTTTTAACAGATGCAGTGATTATGTTGGTCGTCTGTGTGTGTGTGTGTGTGTGAGAGAGAGAGAGAGATAGATAGATAGATAGATAGATAGATAGATAGATAGATAGATAGATAGATAGAGAGAGAGAGAGAGAGAGACGATAGCTTCTTGTGGTAGCCGCTGGAGGGAAGTGGAGTTTGCGGCATTTGATAGTGTTTTCCGATGGAGAGGTTGTGGCCAGTGGAGAGGTGGTGACCGATGTTTATAATGGAGAGAAGAGAGAAAGATGGGTGAGAGTATTTTAATGTGGTAGGAGAGAATGTGTATGTTTTCTAAAAGAATAATTAATAATAAATAAACAAACTAAATTAAAATGTTTTTTAATAATTAAAACTATAAAAACATTAAAAAAAATAAAAAAAAAAATTGAAAAGAGCAGTATAGTCATTTTATACTGTTAGAGACTAAACGTGTAATTTTCTACGTTTTAATGGATGATCCGAGTTAATTTTTAAAAATAAAGACTGAACGTGCATTTTGCCATCTAGGCGATTGATGATGCTTGTAATTTACTCAACTTTCAACTTCATGTAAAATGAAGAATTGAAGTACAAAACTGACAACAAGAATTAAATTAAATCAACTAGAATATCTCTATTCTCATCACCACACAAGAACAGATTCAAAGTTCAATGATTGCTGCTACTATGTTGTCCCAAAATCATATGTAATTTGTACCAAATTTAGAAGTTATTATTGTACCTTTACCAAAGTAAGAATGTATTACCGTAATTTCACTAAAATAAAGGGGGTTTAAAGGTAATTTATCCGACGTGGAGAAAGAAATCGTTTCCTCCTATATTCGATTCGCCCGTCGTCTCTTTGTCAGCTGATCTCCGTCTCCATCTGCAAATCTCTTTCTTTTTTTCTCTCTCTAGGGTTTCTTTCTCTCTCCACGACTTCAAAATTTGTCTCCCACACCATCATCTTTCAACCATGGCCGGAACTCGCTTGCCACCGGAAGACAACGATATCTCACAGGTACGAGTGCCAGTAACCGCCGATCTGATCTCCGATGATGACCGCTCTGTTGCTGCTGACTCTTGGTCCATCAAAAGTGACTACGGAAGTACTCTTGACGAAGATCAGCGTCACGCTGACGCATCAGAAGCTCTCGCAGCCGCACCGTATCGTACCGCCTCTGATTACAGGTTAGATTACTGTCAGCTGATGATACTCATTTCTGCTAACACGCTGTTTGTCGATTGTTGTAAGGGATTCAACAATGGAAATAAAATTGTCAGATCTTTCTGTTTTAGTTAGGCATATTACTTGACTAGTTAAAATTTGGGGAATTCGTGCTACGTATAATTTATGTGAACTTCAATTTAACTGCGATAAAGAAATTGGTCAGTTCGAGTACATGTTTGGGTGCCATTTTGCTTATTTTGTTGAAGTTCAAGTGTGTTTCAGTATCCAAATGTGTCAATTTGTTTGCTTTGTTATGTATTGTTAACTTCGATTCACAAATAGACATTCAAATTTTCAACTATTCATTACATTTACATCCATGAATGTTGAACACATATAACCTCTTGTGCCAGTTAGAAAACTTGATTTGATATTAATGCTTGAAACAACTGGAACCATTTCTGAATTCTGAATTTGCATTTTTTTTGTTTATGCATAGTTCTGACAAAGAAGAACCTGATGCTGAAACAATTACATCAATGTTGGGGTTCCAAAGTTACTGGGATTCAGCATATGCAGATGAATTGACAAATTTCCGTGAACATGGACATACTGGTGAAGTTTGGTAAGTTGTTATCAACTTGTGTTGATCCTATTTATAGTTTTATTAGATTTAAAAACCTGTTCACTTTCTTGACTTACATAAACTCTTAATGTTTTTTTAGGTTTGGTGCTGATGTCATGGAAGTAGTTGCTTCCTGGACAAAAGGCCTATGTGTTGACCTTTCTCAAAAAGAACTTCAAAACCACCATGAAAATGACAATTCTGACCTTGATAAACAAGGCAAGAGAGATTTAGCAGATTGGAGTGTTCTTGATGTTGGAACTGGCAATGGATTGCTTCTTCAAGAACTTGCTAAACAAGGGTATATTATATATATTTGACCTTGTGTATACACTATACAATATAATTCTTGTTCTTATAAACCCTAATTCTTGATGTTAATGAATTTAGGTTCTCTGATCTAACTGGAACTGACTATAGTGAAGGAGCCATTGACCTTGCTCAAAGCCTTGCAGATCGTGATGGATTTGCTACTATCAAACTCTTGGTAACTTTCAAATTTATTATTATTATTTTTATTATTATTATTGAAAAAAATTGGTTGTCAGGTGGATGATATTCTTGAAACAAAGTTGGATAAAAAGTTTCGTTTGGTTACAGACAAAGGGACTTTGGATGCAATTGGATTGCATCCTGATGGTCCTATAAAAAGGCAAGTTTGACTTTTTTGCCCTTCAAAAGTCAATCTGCTTTTTCAGAAATTAATTTGTTTTTTTAATTTATTACAGGATTATGTATTGGGAGTCCATATCAAGACTTGTAGCTCCTGGTGGCTTACTTGTAAGTATTATATTAACAAAGACTGTGTCTGAAATCTGATTATGAGTAAATGACCATTTTACCCTTGTGGCATCTAATGCCGAATGTCAAATGACTATTTATTTGAAAAACTTTTGCGAAATCGAAAAAAATTAAAAGACTTGGAAAATTTTGTTGTCTCATTAGTGATGAAGGGTAATATGGTAAAAAGCCAGCATCTTTATATATCTGTCCAGATTAAGTTATGTTGATATTAATTTTATGAAAAAATCTGGTTTAGGTTATCACTTCATGCAACCACACAAGAGATGAATTGGTGCAAGAAGTTGAAAACTTTAATCAAAGAAAAGCCCCTGAAGAATCAGATATTTCCAGAAACCCCCCTGTATTTTCCTACTTGGATCATATTCGGTCCTATCCAACATTTATGTTTGGAGGATCTGTTGGGTCCCGTGTTGCTACTGTAGCATTTCTTCGTAGCTAAGTTAGTTGTGTGTGTGTTTTGTGTGGTGTCCCTTGTGTGTGTGTTGACTTGACTGAAGATGAAACTTTTTTAAAAACTATACTTTCTGTTAGGGGTAGTTATGTCAAAACCACTTTTCCAAAACTGAAAAAAAAAACCCTGAGCATTTGGATGCTAGGTGTTTTGAATTTTGTATCCTTATTAACTTTCGGTTAACTTTACGTAATTGCCCTTGTTTCACTAAATTGTATCATTTCGTTTTACTTATTTGATAGCTAAAATATCTTGTTGTTTCCATGTTATTTTGATTTATGACATATTCAGTTTGTTTTATTGTTTTATGAACAACCTTTGATATATATATTTGGCTTCATATACTCACTTGAGATCTAAATGTGTAATGTCTAGTAAAAGGAATTATATATATCTGCATATCATATGTGACTCTAATGTGGATTTCTTATACAAAATTATTAATTTGTACGTCACAAGGTAGGTTAGATTATTATTATTATTATTCTCTAGAATGGTATAGAATTAAATTAAAAACTAACAGGATTTTAAAGCAACTTTACAATTTTTTAATCAAGATGCTGGAAAGAACATTATAAAGGAAGAAGTCAAAGGAAGAGTTGAGTTTTTAAGCCAACTGATTTAATTAACTTTCAAGCCTTTCAATTGAGAACCACTAAGACCAGCTGGTATACTTTTAACGAAGAGGGTTGTGGTCTATGTGTCAATGAACCATAGTCGTTTACACCATCTTGCTTGTTTGTATTGTGGTGTGGTTGTGTTGATTTGTGGTGCCATCGACGAGATGCAACCACCAATCAAATTTCTTTGTAGTTCAATGGCCAGTTTTCTAATTTTTTAAAAAATATTTACTATATAAATACTACTAAATACCATCTTATTTTTCGTACAATTATTCTCTCAATATATATGGTTAGAATTAAATATGAATGATATATATTTTGTGAGTGTATGACAAATTTTAAACCATGAGATTAGATTTCTATATAGCTAAGATTGGATGGTAGTAGTTACAATGAAACACAACACATACAAACATTTCCTTTTAATAAAAGGAAATTAGAAATAGTAATTATAAGGACATAATTGACATTTTGTTAATTCTCAATAAAGAAGTGAAAGAATTAAGGAGAATACATTTATCTTAATTTAAAAACAATATTCAGATATCAAAATCAACTCTGACTTTCAGGATATGTAAGAAATTGTAATGTACAAATTATACTGAAGAATTCTACGAATTATACTGAAGAATTGAAGAATTCTTCTAATAAATAGAGATGAAGAATATGAGTTCATTCTTAAAAAATACGAGATCATTTTAGAGATTTTTTTTAAAACTAAACGTTATTAAATAATATTACTACATTTATTCTCAATAATAAAAATTTGCACCAAAAGTAAAATATTCTTAAAGAATATACGTGTATATATTAAACAATACCATATCATTATCGAAGAAAAATGTATCACATAATAATGTATACAAAATTTTAAACAATATAAACACCCTTTGATACAACATTCTTTAAGAATATGTTTGTAATATATACTACCTTTTTTATATAATATAATATAAAGTATTATTGAGGATTAAAAAAAACTTTTAATATATACATTCCATAAGAATCTAATTGCCAAAAAAACAAACTGAATTACAAAAACCCTACATTCTACTCCACTAATCATTGGTTTTCATCACATCTTATCATCTTCAAACAACCAACAATACCTACATCCATGTTTCCCATGAAATGGTTCATACAACTATCTTGAAATATGACTTTCTTCTCTCTTGAATTAAATAATACACTGCAATATATATTAAAGTCACATTACTAAAATTAAATAACATAACATCTAATATTCTCTGAGAATGTTTTGCTAAAAAACGACAACTAAAAAACACAAACTTTTCAATACAATATTGGTTCTTTGACAAAACCAGATGAACACACACTACATTGAGTTTCCATATTCTATGAGAATACAAATATAATTTAAGTAAAGTGAATGAATTATTGTAGAATGGAATTATATACAAATTCAGTTCAACTACACGAAAATAATGAACATGCACAATTCTATAAGAATGTGTAGCTTGAACTGTAAATTTCTAAAATAAAAATAAATTCTTTATTCTCATATCATAATTCGTAAAAAGGATACCCCCCCCCCCCCAAATCCCAAAAAGCTTTGGCGTGTGCCATTTTTAGCAAAATCGTCCAAGATATGGAAGTCGACTTTGACATGATTGTTAGATAGAAAGTAGTCTTTGAGTGTCTCCAGGCGCCTCATGCTTAGGATTTTCTGCTAACTATCCCTATTGATTGTCTTGGCCAACATATGTCTCCTGTGGAGTACCGAACTATCATTCGTTATCGCCTCATGATTACCATATTTCCAATTGACGAGATATGTCCAGTTTGTCGCAAGGCATGTTTGGATACCTTTGGGGAACACGCGGTTCATTATAGAGAGCTCCCTGGTTTCAAGTATAGACATGATGTGGTTCAGAATGTTCTCTTTGATGCTTTTCGGCGTGCTAGTATTTCTGTGAAGAAAGAAACGCCAGTGAACTTTTTGACGGACTCGCAAGATGGAAGGTCCACACTTAGACCGGCTGACATTTTGGTCTTTGGATGGATAGGAGGGAAGCATGCGTGCGTGGATCTTACTGAGGTCTCTCCTCTCGTTGGTTTGGGGAGCGGGGGTTTGACAGCTGGGTATGCCGCATTGAAAGCCGCTGTGTGCAAAGTGGTAAAACACGAGAATGCATGTATAGCAAATCAACATGTGTTTGCCCATTTTGCATTCGATACATTTGGTTTTCTTGCACCAGAGGTAGTGGAGCTCCTCAATAGAGTCTAAAGGCTCATGCATTCTAATGTCATATCTCCTAGATCCACAAATCTGTTTTCAAAAGAATTGGTTTTGCTATCCAGAAAGGGCTAGCGGCGCAGCTTATTGCCCGTTTGCCTTCAATCGATATGTATTGAACTATGAAATGTTGTTTCCTGATATGATTTCACAAATTCGTAAAGAATGGTTGGTGCCAAATTCATACATGAAAAAAAGTGACAAATAACTTCTCTACTTTTACCAGGAAAAAAAAAATCATGGTGTGTGGTTTGTGCAACTTTCATAAATAATAAAAAAATGATATGAATTTTAACATGTAATCTAAAAAAATACCTTTCCTGAAATCAAGCCTTGATTATGCCCACCTTCATGCTTATGTTCTTGTTATGTTCTTTTTCTTTTCATCATTGTTTGTTGTTGATGTAAAATAATAGCCACATATGAAAGGAAAACTAAACCTCAATGACTAAATAAAAAAACGTAATTAACAGTGTTTTAATCGAAAAACGAAATGAGAAGATTTTGATTTAAGGGATAATGGCTTTATGTACCTCAAAGAAGTCGATGCTGGACTAGGAACTACCAAGAGAGATTAAGAAGTCTATATAAAGTTCAACCTACATCACGAACAATTATCACACATTTTAATATAGCAAAATAGTAAAATTGGCAGTTTTCATATCCTTCCCTCCAATTCAAGAACAAGGAAAATTGCAGGTTCAAACTTTATGGTGAAGCAGTCAACTAGAAGAATGGCTTGTACGGGGATATGTGTCAAATCATATTTTGATGCTTTTACACCTTTCTTAGCTACCATCGTTTCAAGTAGATTTCTTTTCCTCTTCTGTTATATAAGAAACCAACATTGTAAGGTTTAATAAAATCTGGTATTTTACTAAAGTAAAACTATTTAGAAAAGATTAAACTAAGATTTCATAAGATGCCAAAATTAAACTTAAACTAATTCTACGAACCAAAGTGCATCTCATAAATCAAAGTATAATATTGTAATAAGAATAAAAAGGAAGTAGAATAGTTGGAAGGTGTAACAGTCTAATAAAACATTAGTGAAAGTACTTGTTATTTCTCGCATTTAGAATATTCTATCTCATAATGTGTGTACTCATGGGAACTAACAATCAATCTAAGTAATAAAAACTCTAGTTGAAAAAAGAAACCAATGGCCATATCACTCAAATTAGCATAATCCTATTACTAATCAATAACAAAAAAAAAAAAAAAAATTTGCAACTTAGGCATACAAAAGTCATACAGATTAATAATAGCAAACACTTGGAATACAATACTCATACAAATTAACAATAGCAAAGACTTGAACACTAGTACACTAATGCCGCTCTTCTTAACTGATCAAATTAACAATAACAAAAAGCGCATACAAATTAGGTAAATAATTCATTCAAGAACTAGAAATCGGAATTCTAACCAAAACAATCTTACCTGTAATAGAGACAATAAGAGGGGTGATGTAGGAGGCGATGAACACTTCTGACCGATTCTAATGATGGCGATGTGAGGAGGGTGAGCGATTTCAAAAACATAAATATTGTTTTCATATAAAAAGAAGCTTTGAAAGGATAATCTCTAATGATCATTTTCAAACGAGTGGCCCAAGAAATGATTCTAAGTTGGAAGCAGTAACATTAATTAATAAAGAATGTTGAAGAAAAAAAAGATAATAAAATCAACTTTATAATTCTTATGAGAAACGAAACGAGTGAAAAAATTGCAAAATTAATAACTGTTTCTTGAAAACTAGGGCAAGAATGAAACCTAAGCAACAAAAAAAAATATCTAGTAAGGCTGCATATAAAAAAATTCAAAATTTTGAAATCAGTCGTATCCCTTTTTATGTGTGATCCAGTGTCGTGCTTGATCATTGAAGGAGAAGTAAGGGTTATTACAGATGAAAATGATGATGCTTACGACAAAGATGTGGTGATTATAATCGATGAAGATGATGATGGTTACGACCAAGATGATGACGACCTTGTCTGTAGGTTTCCGTAGACGGACAAAGAAGAAGACGGCAGGGATGGTGAGATGTTGATCATTTCGTTTTCCTTCTCGTTTGCTCTATGATGGTGGTATGGTTATTAGTGATGGAAGGGTTTGGCTGGCATATAGTCCAAGAGACCGTAATTATAGGCAATAATAAGTAAACATAATTCTAGGAAATTAATATTAGGTAATACTTAATGAAAATTAATAAAATTATCAAATTACCTTTATCAAATGATTAGTCTAGAATTAGCCTTACATTCACATAATAATTAGAATTTATACATGAACCTAACTTTCTATCTCTCTTTTATATATATATATATATATATATATATATATATATATATATATATATATATATATATATATATATATATATATATATATATATATATATATATATATATTTGCATTTGGAGAATCTTTCAGGAAACCAGAGAAGGGTCTCGCGACATGGACTAATTAGATGGCTCGCATGTTATATTATCCATCCATGAAAGCAATAATGCAATGTAGCGATCAAATTCTATTTTAAATTCATTACATTTCTTTGCATTACAAGAGATACTTTAATTAATGCTATTTATCTTACACGTGTCTAGCGAAACCTGTTTTCTAGTTTTACATGCATGTAATTAAAGGTATTTCCCGAAGAGAAGAACCTAATCAGATATTAAATCGTGGATCATCGGACGTGGTCTACACTTAGCAACCAAAGCTTGAGCCTTAGGCATGGTGAGACCAAGACCTTCTTTCATATCAACCATCTCTTCCCCTATCCTTTCCCAGTCAAAGCACTGCATAAGCAAACCCATCGTCAAGCAAACCATACGCATAGCCAAACCTTCCCCAGGACAACTTCTCCTTCCAGACCCAAATGGCATGAACCTAAACCCATCTTTTGTGCTCTCTACACTTTCGAACCTTTCCGGTTGAAACCTTTCAGGGTCACTCCAGAGGTCAGGATCACGATGTATTGCCCATTGGTTGATAAGTAACATGGTCCCACGTGGGATGTGAAAACCTCCGACCACACAATCTTCCGATGATTCGTGAGGTACTAGGAGTGGGACTGTTGGATACATTCGCAAAGTCTCGTTCACAATACAACGAATATAAGGTAAGCTACTCATGTCTGATTCGTTAACAAGACGATTCTTCCCAACGTGATTGTCGATTTCCTTCTGTGCCTTCTTTATAACATGTGGATGGTTGAGCAAAAGTGAAAGAGCCCATTCCGAAGTCGAGGCAGAAGTATCAGTTCCAGCGGTTAGCAGGTTCTGATCATCAAGAAAATTTAATGTAAATTGTAAATGATTTTGCAAAATGTATAATATTGATAGCTTCATGTTAATCTTTTTCATGTAAGGATTAATTCGATGTTAATTAATATATATATATACCAGGCAAAAGCTTGTAATAATTTCATCAGTGTAGTACTCCGGATCAGTTTTTTGTAGCTGTAATAGAACTTCAATCATTGTGTTGTTCTTCTTGTTTTCGAGTTCAATCCCTTCCAGTTTCCGCTGTTGTTCGATCAACTCTTGAAAGAATGCGTCCCTCTTTTTCTGCAACTTAATCATCTTCTTTTCCAACCCTTTCATTCCGAACCATCTCATGATGGGTAAATGATCCCCTAAATTTGAAGTATCCGCCACCATAGCCGTCTCCTTAACCATCTCCTGGAACTGTTTCCCTTCCTCCTCCAGTTCACCGGATCCGCCGAAATACCTCTTCCCGGATATCATCCTCATCATCAGGTTAAGCTTCATCTCGTGGAATACTGACTTAAAGTTCACAGGTGAAGAACATTCGGACATCAACCTACGAATCATGAGTCTTCCTTCGTCGGCGCGTATGTCACGGAGGTCGTTTAGGCGGTGTGAGGAGAAGATCTCGATGGTGGAGATCCGGCGAAGGTTGCGCCAGTGGTCGCCGTAAGATGACCAGCCGATGCTGGTGTAGTTGGAGCCAAGAATCTTTCCGGCAAGGAGACGAGGGCGGTTGGCGAAGATGATGTCGTTCTTTGTGAAACATTCTTCGGAGGCTGAACGGGAGGAGACAACCAGGACCCGGCGGAATCCAAAGCGGAGAAGGAGGATGGGCCCATGTTTAGCGGAGATTGCGGCGAAGGTCCTGTAGAGAGGTTTCTTCAAAAGGTGGAGGTGGCCGATCAGAGGGAGGGTTGGAAAGAGAGTTGGCGGAAGGTTGGAGAATTTCCGGCGGAAGTGAGAGGCGAACAGAAATGAAGCGAGAAGTAACAGGATGGTAATGAAGAGATATTCCATGATCGTTGAAATCGAGGAATGAGTTCTTTTTGTTATAGGGATCAGAATGTAAATGAGATAATAGCGATTTTTATGTATATTCTATATTTTATTACAAGTTGATTAGTTCATTATGACATATAATTTTATACTACCCAATCATTGTTTTGAGATCCACATTTATATAAAAAACTGTAATTGTATTCATTCATCTACTGTTTGAAAAAGAAAATTTTGAGGTTTATTATAAGTTTTGTAAGTAATAAAATATCTAAACGAATCTTTTAATTTTTTTGTGGGTATCCTTGGTAACAAATAGGACAAAAACGCTTGAATGACAAGTTTTATTTACAAACTTTTTTGTTGACATCAAATATATAAGTTCAATTTTTGATAAGTTTAATTTTTCAGTGGCTATCCTTTGTAACAAATGGGACAAAAACGTTGTCTTTAAAGTAGTGGCTCGTTGTAACAAATGGGACAAAAACGTTGTTTTTTAAAGTAATACAAAAGCAACTCATTCTTATTTTTTATTTTTTTTCCTATTTTTTCTTACATTTTTCTCAAACTCTTCCTCGTTTATTCATTCACTTTAGGGGATATGAATAGTATTACACTAAATATGGTGTTATATTATTTATTTCTTCCAAAATTGGAATGAACTTTACGTTATCGGTTTTAGTCTCTTTATTTATATATTTATACATTTCTAGTTCATTTTTGCCTACTAATTATAATTTAAATATAATATTTAATATTTATAATATTTTGTTATATATTAAATTATATTAATTAATTATAAATATAAAGTTTGTCTTTTATTCATCAAATTGATATAAAAATTTAAATACATATTGAAATTTAAAAAACGATAATGTATTTTACAAAAACTTATAATTAAAAGTGTGTATGTCTAATATTTATATAAATGTATGTATAATATTTATTTAAAAGTGTGTATGTGTAATATTTTCTATAAATGCATGTATAATATTTATTTATAAGTTTATTATAAATATAATCTTTTGTATATTTTATATTAATTTAATAAAAAAATATAGATTATATATTTGTTAAAACTAAATTCGTAGAAAAGTGTGTTTGACAATCTATGTAAATTGGAATAATGAAATTTATTAGGAATATATTTTTTAAAGGTAAAAATGAGATAAAAAATAAGTAGGATCATAGATGAAACACTATTTATATTATTTTTTTATTTTATTTTTAAAGAAAAAATAAAAGTAAATTGAAGATGGTTTAGAAGAAATAGTTTCATCTTCACTTTTAACAACTTGGAAAAAAAGGTTCATTCAACGATAATGGGAGTCAACCAAGAGAGGTTGAAATGGGGAAGGGGAATATGAGGAGAGGAACCTTATTATTAATGTTTATGTAACTAGCATCGCTGCTAATGTTTTTATTATTATTATTATTATTTTTATAAAAAAAACATATTTTTGTAATATATATATATATATATATATATATATATATATATATATATATATATATATATATATATATATATATATATATAGATCTGGTAAGAATTTTTTTTTGGTAGGAAGGTAAGAAGTTTTTTTTTTCTACATATTTTTTTGACGAATAAAAAAATGAATCACTAGATGATAAATTTATAAGATGATTCACAACAAAAAATTCCCAAAAAAAACATCTTTATGATTCATTTTTAAGTAAATTAAGAAAAAATTCACTTTTATGATAATTTTAGTGAATAACAACAAAATCATTATATAAATGAATTATCAAGATGTTTTTTTGAGAATTTTTTCTTGTGAATCATCTTACAAATGAATCATCTAATGATTCATTTTGTTTGTTCGCAAAAAAAATATGTAGAATAAAAACTTCTTACCTTCCTACCTAAAATTTTCTTCTTATTTGATCTTGACTATATATAAATATATATATATATATATATATATATATATATATATATATATATATATATATATATATATATTATAAAATGCAGTTATGATAAAAAATACATACCACATTATATAAAAACAACCAAACATACTATATTCCATAAAATATCTAATAAATCTCAAACAAACATCTAATATATCATCCATAAACTATCTAAAAAATCCAAAATAACATCCTCCATATCATAAAACAAGAAATACTATGTGTCTTCGTCTTCTCCATCGTCCTCCCCATCGTTGTTGACTTGGTTTTTAAACGCGCGAATAATGTCTCTAATGGCTGTCACAAATACCGAGTTTTGAAGAAAAACATTCACATCAACATCATATAATTAAGTCACAAACACATTAAATCATTCAAAATTCAACAAACTATCAAACTGTCAGAGCACCAAATCATTTAAGTCTTTAACAATTTAACAATCAATCACGTAATACACATTTACATCCTAAATGAGGTAAGATATTCAAAAAGCAATCCCAAAACGGGGACAATCCAAAATTAAATTTCTAAATCAATTTCGGGCGGATATTTTTAGGCTTTTGATGATTTAAAAAGAAGAGATTTAAACTAAAAATTAACTTACTTATTTATTATATCATTGTACTTTAGCGTATTAATTTTGATTTTTATTTTTTATTATGACATTATAATTTCAACGATATTATAAATTTGTTATTTATATCAATTTTTTTTTCCATATTTTGATTTTTAATTCCAACTTATTTTTGTTTTTATTTTTCTATTTTGAGTAATTATAACTTAATAAATTTAACGTCTTAATTTTTCAATTATATTTTTTCTTATAACATTGTACTTTAAACGATATTATATATTTGTTATTGTAACTCCCCGATTCTCAGGTATGGATTTAAGTAAGAGTCTCTTTGGTTTATGTCCTACTCTACGAGTTAAGGGTGCACTACTCGTCGAGTGGCAGCGATGTGGGATTACATATTTAGTGACCTACTCGCCGAGTCCATAAAGGGACTTGACGAGTAGAAGCTCGCAGAATAAACCCTAAGTCCTGGGTTCTGCCCTCTATTTAAGGAGGCATAAGTCTCATTTGGCCTCCTTACAGTCAGTAAGAGTTCATAGAAAACTCTAACCTTGTATTGTGTCTTTCTTGTGCTTTGTAAGCTTGGAAGGAGGGCTTGTAGAAGGAAGAACTTGGAGAACAAGGGGATAGGAGCAAGGAAGGAGTGGGAAATCCGAAATCTGCCTCAGTTAGCACCCATCGAAGGTATCAAGTCGACATCTTTATCTCTTTTCCATTCTAGATCTCATATGGTGGAAATCTAGGGTTTTATGGTTTGAGTAAGGTGATATTGCAAGACATGAGCTAGATCTGAAGTTGTAACTTCAGATCTGGACCTTTCTCGAGTTCTAGAGTCATAAAGTTCCTGTCTTGGTCGTGAATGAGGCCCCCTTGTGCATGAAACCCATTAAGAGCTTAGTTTTGGCATTAAGAACCTTTTTAGCCATGCATGCACGTGGCATGCCCTGGGAGCTTGGATCTATAATTTGGAACCTTTGCATGGCTTAAAATGAGTCTGTATGGCTTAAGGAATGAAGGAACTCAGTGAGTCGCAAGGGAGACTCGGCGAGTCAGATGAAGATAGCCATGGGCTCGACGAGTTGGATGAATAACCCGGTGAGTCCGATGAAGTTTGCCATAGACCCAACGAGTTGCATGAACAAATCGGCGAGTCGGATGATTTTTCCCCAAGTTAGGAATGTATGTGTATCGACGTGTTGCTAGAAGGAAACTCGACGGGTGGCCATAGGGTCTCAATCGAGAATCGTGGGAGCTTGACGAGTCACCCCGGTGGCTCAACGAGTGGGTAAGGATTTCAAGGAAATCGGCGAGTAGCCGAGGGTACTCGATGAGTTAAGGTCAACATGGACTGTTGACCTTGACTAAGGACTTTGACTTTGACCAAGGTTAGCTAGTTGGGTTATGAAGTACTCTGTGAGGATGAAGACTTATGAGCATGTTCGTAATGTGGTAATAGGTGGTGGAGTCTTTGACGAGTGATTGGAGAGCTATGATTTATTTACCGACCTGACATCTACGAGATGAGTTATCCTCACTATACTAAGGGGTCTAAGGCACCAAGGCCGACCCATTGGATGTATTATCCTAACAGTGTTAGATGTTCATCATGAGTTATTATTGCATGCTAGTGATGTATGCCAGTTGATATGCTAGTTTGGTAGGTCTGTAGGACTACCTGTGATATTGTGTGATTTCCAGTATGTGTATTTATCTATTACATGTCGACATGTTATGTGGGATGAGTTGAGGTTGTACTGCTCTGTGCGGTAGCCAACAAACCCTAGAGTATTCCAGATATGAGCCGAGGGCCCGGTAGGCACTCCAGACTCATACTGAGGACTCGGGAGCATTCAAGATACGAGTTGAGGGCCCGGTAGGCATTCCAGACTCGTACCGAGGGCTCGATGGCATTCCAGATGCGAGCTGAGGGCCCGGTAGGCATTCCAGATTTGTACTGAGGGCCCAGGGGGTAGTCCAACTTATAAAGCTGTGGACCCAGTGCATGTTGTTCTGTTTTGATTGATATGATATGTTAATGTTGATATTGCTATGTGGACTGTATGTGTATCGGTATTTTGGGGGTAACTCACTAAGCTTCCGGGCTTACAGTTTCAGTTTATTGTTTCAGGTACATCAGGGGATCGAGGCAAGTCCAAGGCGTGATCGTACATATCCTCCTATTGTGTTTATGTTTCTGGGAAAAAAAAATCTGATAATCAATATTTTGAAAACAAAGTTGTAATGTTTTGATGAACTTGACATGTTTTAAAAAGTTTAAATTGGTTTGAAATTTTGGATGTTACAAGTTGGTATCAGAGCCTTGGTTTGAGTGAATTGGAGAAAAATTCGTGTGAATCCAGTCTCAAATCAAGAAAAGATTTTCAGAATGGTTTTCAAAATAAGTAAAGGATGATGTAGGGTGTACGATCAGCCGAAGCCAGTAAGTAGACCCCAAAATACCATAAATTTAATCGATATGATAGAACAACATGCTAGTACTAGGCTAGGTATCTTCAGGAATTGCATGGTAGGATTGCCTGATACATGATGCCTGCTAGCCTAGGGTATCCCTTATATGAAATTCGCATCATTACTGTAGTTATCTAG